ATAACAACTACTACAGAAATTTTAAAGCCAACGCAAATATTTCAACATTCATCGCGGGCTGTACATTCCACTGATTGATTAGTTCGAAATATGAAATCTATTTGTTCTCTCAAAACATTTTCCCGACAGTAAACAACTTAAAAGAAAAGCCGATGATTCTACGCGGCCTTTAAGATGTGATCACCAACCAGCAAACATTTTCCCATTACAATTTAAGGGCTTTGCAATGCAAGAGAAACAGAAAAATTTGAATGCCTGTAAACTGAAAAAGGGGCACAGCTCGCAAAAAGACGTGAGACACGTCTGTTGGAAGCAATGGTTTACGGTTAAAATTCATTTCTCATTTCAAGAACGCACCGCGATTTTATTTAAAACACAAACAAATTAACGTATGCACAAATTCTCCAACGATTCTCTCGTAATAATGAAACATTTCTCGCGAGGTTCCTTGTTACATTTTGTTATATTTCAGACAGAGCAACACACAGCAGCTTTCAATATTCCGGGCATTACCAACTTTCTTCTGGACTTTGTCGGTCGTCTTTAGGTATTAAAAGGAAGACGTTTTGGCAGGGGATTGATTATATTTCTCCCTCCAGATCGATTGAATGTCACCTTGGTACAACAGCTCTTAAAAATTAGTACAAAAACCACGTACGTCTTCTGGGATGTTGTCTCGTAGAAATTATCACGTGTTAATCAACCACGTCAATAAACAACTAACTTACTAACTAATTAAATGGCTTATAGAACCCGGAGGTTCATCACCGAATTAACCAAAGACCTCCACCAGACCCTGTCCTGGACCAACAAAATCCAGTCTCCTTCAACTCCTATCTCCCGTAGATCCCGCCTGAGATTATCCTCCCATCTAAGTATAGGTCTCCCCAGCGGTCTCTTCCCTTCAGGCTTCCCAACCAATAACCGGTGCACACTTCTTGTCTTATCCTTGCGCGCTACATGTCCCGCCAATCTCATTCTTCTCGACTTAATTTCCCTGACAATATTGGGGGAGGAGTACAGATTTTTCAAGATCGCCATTACGTAGTTTTCTCCACGCCTCATCGTTTTCTCTCCTAGGCCCAAATATCCTCCTCAACACCCTATTCTCAAACACCTGCAATCTGTGTTCCTCCCTCTGAGTGAGAGACCATGTTTCGAACCCATACAAAGCAACAGGCAGAATTATTGTTTTGCATACTTTAATTTTCAGTAAATAAACAAACCTGAAATATTCGCTGCGCATTGACAGAATCAATCTGTGGACTGGAAAGACGCCGCCGTCCTCCAACCTCAACACCGCGTCACAAAAGAGGTTCCTCTCTCTCAGCTCGTTCAGAGGGACCAATGTTTCGGTGCA